AAAAAGTAAATAAGTCTGCCCACTAGTTTATTAATATAAAATACATTTTCGTACATATTTAAGGGAGAATGCTACTATCTTTTAGTGTTGTTTTAGAAGGTAATGGGCAAAGATACCAAATAAATTCTTTTAAATTGATTTTTACTGAACCAATATCTAGCAAGTTCTTTATTCAATAACTTGCAATTTGGGGATAGAAATTCTCATTATGTACACCCAGTGTAAAAGATGTTAGTTTCAAAGTGTGTTTCAGTGGTACATACTGCAAAGCTCAACAAAAACATATTGAATTGAATCTGATCATAATTACATGAACATCAGTTCTCAGAATTTGCGAAATGGAATTTAAATACAAAACATTATTTAGACTCCCTTCTTTTAAAGGTGAGCTTATGTATGTGTACATATGTGTTTAATGTAATTTAGCATCTTTCTTAGTTTTTAGCTTATTGGACAGAATATAATGGTGCTATGAACTAAACTAGGTCACTTTGATACAGTTTAGCAAACTATTTACTCACATCATTCACATTTGAGAAATTCTTAATTCTAGATGAAAAGGAAAATAAGACCAATTTCCAGAAGCTGAAATTATCATTTAAACTGGAGTTTAAACTTGCAGCTATATGGAACAAAAGGTGTATTTTAACATAAAGGTTTTAGAAATTAGTACTTGTTAAAAATAAAGAACTATATCCATTAGGTACTTCTGAAAAAGGAAAGTGGAAATTCATCATTTTTAGTGTCTGTCAGCCTGGAACCTCTTATTTAGTACTTTCATGGGCCGCATTCCTAACAATGAACGCACTGTTGAGCTTGATAGATGAGAAGAACTTAAACTGCTTTCTAAAATATCAAGGAAGACGGTATTTCTCTCAGTGTTTCTAGCTAAGTGTAGTTATTATAATCAAACCTTTTGAAAACTAGCACTATGTGCTACATACTATCACTAGCTACAATGATCCTCTCATTTCCTGACCACAAGAGTATTTTCAGGATCAGGGATTCTCTTCTATTTATTTAAGCAGGCATGCTTTTTTTGCCCTAGTTTACTGAATTATTTATTAGCTACACAGCATTCATGTCCTGTGCTAAGTGCTACTTCTCTCCCCTTTCACAACTGGAATTCAAGTATATGCTCTATTTCATTATGAATTTTAAAGCCCACCTGAATCTGAAGTATAATTCATAATGATGGAAAGATAAGGGTAGTAGTATGTGTTCAAGAACACTAGGAATTTGATGTCCATATTGGATACTTTTTTGCTGCTTTTTGTTTGCTAACAGACAATGATATATAGGCAATGTATAAAATCTTCACACTAAGGTGCAGTTATTTGCAGGCAAGAGCCACACCTTGACAGGTGCCAGATGAAAAAGGCTCAAACTTGGTTTGCTGACAAAATGCTTGTCCGTTTCAATTCAAACAAGAATTGATTGATAGACCATTCTCAGAGCTTATAGAAGTCTATGTAAGAGGCTGAAGGCCGAGTTTTAAAAACTGCGGAGCAAATGAATTATCTGGGGGTCTTGTTAAGATGCAGAGTTGGATCACAAGTGGGGTGGGGCCAAAAAGTCTGCCTTGTAATAGGATGTTAAAGGTGTTGGTCCACAGAAATCACCTTGAACAGTAATGCACAGTCAAAAGAAATACAGATGCCCACGTCCCACCTCAATTCATCTAATCAGAATCTCTGGGGGTGTGACTCAGGCTCTGCGCCTTTGTTAATATTCTCCAGGTGCTATGGACTGCATTGTGTACCTCCCAAATTCGTATGCTGAAGTCCTAATCCCCGATTTGATGCCATTTTGCACGTGGGATCTGGGGAAGGTAATTTGGTTTAGATGAGGTCATGAAACTGGAGGCCTTGTGATGGAATTAGGGCCTTTGTAAGAAGAGACACCAGATCTCTGTCTCTGTCTTTGGGTTTCTTTTTCTATCTGTCTCTGTCTCTCTCTGTTTATCTCCCTGTTTGAAGTCTCTCTCTCTCTCAGTGGCTTGTAAGGAACCAGTGAGAATGCAGCTGTCTCCAAATCAAGAAAAATATCCTCACCAGAACCCAACCACACCAGCATGATAACTGCAGACTTTCTAGTCTAGAGCTGAGAGAAAATGCCACTCCATTATCTACACCACTTAGACTACACACAGTGTTTGCGTATGGTGTTCCAAGCAAATTAACATGCCAGGTGATTTGATTCTAATCAAATGAAGCATAGGTAGATAGTCGATGCTCAAAAGGGTAATGAAAGCATACTTTTAAGTTACTTTTAGGGCACCGACAATCTACCTGGGGAGCTAGTCCTTGGAGCTATACAAGGCATGGGCAGACAAGTGCAAGGCTGGGTCAGAGAAGAACAGTGTTAAAGGAGGGACCCAAAACAAGAAAGGTGCCAGGGTTTGGGTAATGGGGACAGAGCACTGTGCCACTTCTTAAAAAGCTAACTGAAGGCTGCATTTTTAAATCAAGAAATCATACTTTGCATTTTATAATAAAAAAACTGCACACATATTAAGTATTCCATTTTAAATTCTGACTACTATGTGCTTGCATGCAATTACTACTCGGTTAAGATATGGAACACTGCCATTACCCCAGAAAGCTCCTGTCCAGCTAATGCCCACCATTCCCAGAAACAACCACTGTTCTAATTTCTATCACCACAGATCAGTATTGTCTGTTTAGAACTTCATACAAACAGAATCACACAGAATGTGCTTTTTGTGTGCCTGGCTCTGCTAGCATAATTATGTTGGGACTCATCCACATTACTGCATGATTCAGTACATCGAATTCCTTTTATTTCTCAGTGATAATCCCTTGTATACCACAATTGGCATTTATCCACTCAACTGCAGTTGGACTTTTGCATTATTTCCAGTTTGAGACTATTAAAAATAAGGCCCCTATGAATATCATTCTTGAATTCCTTAAAAACAAAACAACATATTTTCAAGCCAGGCTGGTGGTGCATTTCTGTAATCCCAGCACTCAAGGAGGGGAGTCAGCAGGATCACAAGTTTGAACCCAACCTGGACAATTTAGTAAGACCTCGTCTCAAAATAAACAATAAAACAGGGTTAGGGATGTAGCTCACTGATCCTGGTTTCAACGTCCAGCATGCACACAAAATTATTTTTTCTCTCTGATACAGGTAGGTTTAACCGTTTCTATAAAGAAACGGTAGAACAGTTCCCCAAAATATTTCTATTTATGCTTCCATTGGCAATACATAAGAGTTCTAGTTGTACCATATTCTCATCTTAGTGTTGTGTTTTTTATTTCTAGACTTTATTTTTGTTTTCTTTTGTTTCATATTTATAGTGCTGTTGGTCAAACCCATGGCCTCACACACATGAGGCAAATGCTCTACCACTGAGCTACAGCCCCAGTCCAAGACTTCATTTTTAGGATGCATTCACCTGTCTGATGAGTCCAAGACTTTGAGAAGTAGTTTAGCTACTAGTGAGAATTTGAGTCCTTAGATAATAATCTAGGAGTATGAAGAAAATTATGGATTTAATATTCTTTTGACTCAGCAATCCCACTTCTAGAAATCTATCACACAGATATCTGCAGAAGTACAATGAACTTGTGAAAATCTGTGAGCTCTTAATAACGACAGAAAGAAAACAGCTACGAAAAAAAATCAGTCATCATCACTGAAGTTATTCATGAATTCCTCTCTTTGAAATTGATAATTAGAGGGCAAAGCACTTTCCTGTTTCCCCAGTACAGAATGTTTTTTAACGTAACAAGCACATAGTTGATTAAAGAAAACTCTTCTTTACCAAGGGATGGCAGCTAATAAATGTAAAGAAAATGAAAATATTTAAAATATATCTAATGAATATCAATTAAAGCAAAAATTATTAAGTGGATTTGACTGTGACAGGAACGGCTGAGGAGAGAGCTTACATCTGTATCGAGTTAAACAACTCCACACAAAACTCTTTCTGGTTCAAAGGGGAAAATCTTCACTCTACAGCAGCAAGAGTGAGAGGCCATCTTAACACACAGAGGAGGAAGATACAGAACACTGCCATCATTCCAGAAAGTTCTGTCACTTCCTTTCTGGCCAATTCTTACCATTCCCAGAGGCAATCAAAACTGTTCTGATTTCCATCTCCATAGACTGGAATGTTATTTTAGAGCTTCTTACAAAAGGAAAGGTACAACTGGGGTGGGGAGGGTGCATAACCTATAATCCTAGCTTTCTGTAATGCAGAGGCAGGAGGATTGCAAGTTCAAGCCCAGCCTGGACAACACAGTGCTTTAGCATGACCCTGTCTCAAACTTTTAAAAAGGCCTGGGGGTGTAGCTCAGATCGAAGTCTCTAGGTTCAATCCCCAGTACCTCAAAAACAAAAATAAAACAACAAAACAAGGCATGTACAGAATGACAGGCACTAGATAGAAAGCATTTTCTTATGAACACATTACAGTGCAAAAGATGTATTGTAGCCTCGATTTATTAACATGAGTCAACAAAACTTCTAATTTGCAGAAAATATAGAGGACAGAATAAGCTGGACAATGTAAGAAAACAATGGGAGAAACACCATACACGTAAATTAGCAGATGAGTTTTTAAAAGATATAGATTTTAAAATACCTAAGTAATGTGTAAACCAGATATGATGCATGATCCTGACTTGAATCCTGATTTGGATAAGCCATCATTGAGGGAGGTTCATAAGGTAATTTGAAGATAATCTGAGTATTAGATATAATGAAAATTTATTGAAGGAGAAAAAAATCACTAAGACAGGCAGTGTTACAATTTGGAGATAGTCCATCCCCACCAAAAGCCACTGCCAGCACAACAGTGTTAAGAGGAGTGGATCTTTAAGAGGCAATTAGGTTATAAGAGCACCATCCTCACAAGGGGATCAATGTGTTCTTATGAATGTGGGTTAGTTATTGTGAGAGTGGGATGTTAGAAAATCAAGTTTTGTGTTTTCCTGATTCTTCTCTCACTATATGATCTTTTTTCACAGGTACCCACTTTCCTTCTGCTTTTCCGTCTGACACGGAGCAGCATGTGCTCCTCACCAGAAACCAAGGAGGTACTGGCACCATGCAACTGAACCACCACAACTGTGAGCCAAAATGAACCCTGGCCTTTACAAATTGTCTGTCCTCAGTCATTATGTAATAGCAACAGAAGAAGGATGTAGAGGGACAGTTTACAACTTACGATCTCATTTGAGTTAAAAAGTATGTACACAAAAAGATCTGGAAATATATATATATAGCCAACAGTTATAACTATTCATATTATATTGCTAACAGCAAAAACTTGGTGGCTTACAAAATACATGTTTATTATCTTACAGTTCTGTAGATCAGAATTTCACCATGGGTCTCAATGAACTAATCAAGGTTTAGGCAGGGATAATTTCCTTTCCAATGGCTCAGAAGTTGAATCCATCTCCTTACCTTTCCCAGCCTCTAGATCCCTCCTGCATTCCCTGGCTCATAGCTCCCTCTTCTACCTTCAAAACCAGCAACATTTGGTCCTTCTTGCAGTGTAGCACTCTGGGCTTTTCTGCCTCCCTCTTCCACTTTTAAGGACTCTTGTGATTACATTAGGCGTATCTGAATACTCTAAAACAATCTTTAAGTCAACTGAATACAACCTTCATTCAACCTGCAATCTTCCTTTCCCTTTGCCATGAGGCCTACCATATTTATAGGTTCCAGGGTTTAGGATGTAGATATCTTTGAGGAGTCATTATCCAGTCTTCCATAGTGGGAATATAATGCTTTATTGTTAGTCTGTATTTTCTGACTTTCTACAATCTGCATATGCTGCTTCTATACCAACAAAAAGCTATTGTTCATTTAACAATAAGCATAATAATGGAGGATCAAGTAATACAAATGGTGAAATTGTAGAGATGAGTACACATCTATAGGGATGCAGACCTAATTACTGACCTAATTACTGTGAGGATAGGTTCTGGTGATTTGGAAAGTCTCCACTGAAACAATCATTTTAAAATGCAGTAATTCAAACAATATATGTGAAAGGGCAGGTGATTTCTCTTTTTTATTTTAAAAAGAGAAAGAAAAAAAATAAAAATAAAACAGAGTTTCAAAACAGGCAATTAGGACAGTAATGATAGTTAATATGATGCATACTGTTATCTTCAAAGTAGTTATTCAGAATACAAGACATAAGCAGGAACTATTATCCAAACAATATTAGCTCAAACCTTTCATTTAGTGAACTAAGAGAAACTAGCTGTATAACTATCTTGTGGATATATATAATTTTTTTTCTTTTCCCTTCCTTCTTTTCCTCTTTCCCATCCCAGTTTCTCTTTTCTTTTGAACAAATTCTTCCCAATTCACAATATCCATTGTACATTTTGAATATTATTTACTCATTCAGTTTCTCACACTTATAAGACAATACAATGTTTATACATGTGGGTCTGATTTATTGCACTTCTGAGTACGCTCTTGAGTTGCATCATTTATCTATAAAAGTCTCATGTTTATTCTTCTTTATGGCTGAGTAGTACTCCATTATATAAAAAAAGGAAGTCTTTTTTATCCATTCCTCAGTTGATGGGCATTTGGGTTGTTTCCAAGATTTAGCTATTATAAATTGTGCTGCTATAAACATGGGTGCACACATATTGCTATGGTATGATGTTTTTAATTCTTTTAGGAAGATACTCAGAAGGAGAATAGCTGGGTCAAATGGAACCTCTATTCCTAGTTTTTTTAAGGAATCCCCACACTGATTTCCATAGTGGTTGCACCAGCCTACACTCCCACCAACAGTAGAGTTCCTTTTCCCCACAGCCCCTCCAGCATTTGTTATTAGTAGATTTCTTGATAGCCATTTTTCCTTGAGTGAGATGGACTCTCAGTGTTGTTTAAATTTGCACCTCTCAAATGACCCATGTGTTCAACATTTTTTCATATACTTATTTGCCGTTTTGTATTTCTTCATCCAAGAAGTGTGTATTCATCTTAGATGCCCATTTTTTGATTGGGTCTTTGATTTTGGGGGGTCTGATTTTTTTCAATTCTTTATATGTTTTAGATGTAAGTCCTTTGTCTGAGGGACTGGCTATAATTTTTTCCCATTCTGTGGGCTGTCTTTTCATTTTGTAGGTCATTTCTTTTGTAGTGCAAAAGCTTTTTAATAAGGTCAGAGCCCATTGTTGATTCTTTATAGTATTTCCCGTGTGGTCTGGGTTTGTTCAGGAAGTCTCTGCCTAAACCTATGTCTTCTAGATTTTTGCCTATTTTTCTCTTCCAGTAGATTTAGTGTTTCTGCTTTAATATTTAGATCTTTGATTCATTTTTACTTTAGTGCATGGTGATAGACATAGGTCTAATTTAGTCTCCTGCATGTGGAAAGCCAGTTTTTCCTGCACCATTTATTAAACAGGCCATCTTTCTTCCAGCGAACCTATTTGGTTCCTTTGTTAAAGAGAAGGTGGCTGAGTGTGCTTAGGGCTGTGTTTGCATCTTAGGGCTGTGTTTGCACTAAGTTCAGTAGTGATCCTTAAGGGTAATTACTCCAGTGTGCTCTGCTGTAAAAACTCCAGTGATAATCAGTATGTGAGTCCCATTATTCCTTGAGGTGGTGGCATGCAAGTATCATCATTTTCCACTGAGGACAGGTGGCTACAAACATCTGCCAGAAGAATAATCATTAATAAATGGTGATTATGGACAGGTGGTCATATGCCAGGCACAGTGCTAAGCCATCTACAAGCAATAAGTCATTTAATCCCCAAGGACTCATGAGGAAAGTACAGTTATCAATCCCATCACATAGATAATGTGATTGAAGTGAAGAGAGGTTAAATAACTGCTCCAAGGTCACATTGCCAGAAAGTGACAGAGGTGGGACTTCCACTCACATTTTGTGAAGATTCATACGTATGCTTTTTGTATGAATCTTTGGCCAGAGTGTCCTTGTCATTGCTGGAGTTACTTTTGGGTATAACATCTTTTTTAGAAGAAATCACAATTCTGGGCAACAAAGGCAAGTCAGGGGGCACACAATCCCTGACCTGAAATTATACTGCAAAGCTACTGTGATAAAAGCAACATGGTATTGGCAAAAACAGATTTGAGATCAGCGGAACAAAGTTCATCTTCCTACCCCCATGTTCATCATACAGATACCATAGTTTATGACTGACATTTGGCTTTTATGGCATCTGCAAATGCTTTGGGGATATTTAC